AATTTTTATTTTTAAGACAATTAATTCTGGTTCTAGAAGCATTTAAGTGAATCTCACTTTTTTTTCTATCCAAGAAGAATTAAAGGCTGCATTTAGATGTAGCATTGGTGGAAGTAAAGACAACACCCTGTCCCCTTGCTCTAGATTCCCACATTCCTTCCTTCTTTCCAAAGGTTCAGAAGATCCAAGGAGATAAAACTCCAAATTGGAAACTTGGATGGAAAATAAAGTACAAATAAAAACTATCACTTAAATCACTTTTTAAAAGAGTTTTTATTGTGAATTGAGTGATAGTTTACATGGGAGAACAATGAGTCTTACACTCATTGTTTCATTGTGATGATTACAATCCCCTCTGTGCATCATCACTCAACAGTATTTACTTCTATTCCCTCTGGGGTTTTTTGTTGTTGGTTTTTTTGATGGAGATGTTTACAAAAACTCTCAGGAATATATAATCATTTTAAAAACCAAAGGGCACATTCTGCAAGCCTACCTCCTGGCTACCAGCACACAGCTTTTCTCTTTCCATGAGTCTAGAGTCCTCAACTGCTCTATCTTTCCATGTCTTCATCTCTGCCTCCATCTCTGGTGCCACTGCTTCTCTGGATAAGGTCCCACATTCCACTCATGCTCTTCTCTCTTGATGGTCCTAGGTCCTCTGTTCCTGGAATGTAAAATTAACTACTCTCCCCTTTTTGTTATGCAACATCTATCTTTACAGTTGTGACAGTCACAATTAGTCATGATAACAATTACTGTTGAATCATAAGAATCTTATCCCCATCTCCTTTCACCAGACCCATCTAGACAAGATAAGAACTATTCAGTGGGGGTTCTACCTTCCCATGCACACTCTGAAACTAAACTCCTTCTTGAAAACTTGTAGGCCAGTCATTTCATGCCTTTATAGTCCCCCATTTTATGGAGCCATGTCTAAGTTGCCTGTCCTTATCAACCTTGTATACAGAGGGGCTAGGATTGATGCTTGATGTAAAGATTCCTCTCCTCTTAGTTGGTATTTTGAGCTACTACATCCATAAATATGTTGCTGTTGTTGTGTGCCGTGGAGTCGGATCCGACTCATAGCAACCCTGTACAGCATTTCCAAGGCTGTAAATCTTTACTGGAGCAGAAAGCCTCATCTTTTTGCCATGGAACAGCTGGTAGTTTTGAACTGCTGACTTTGAGATTAGCAGCCTGACTCGTAATCACTACGTGATCAGAGCTCCTTACATCCATAAGTATAGGTCATTAAATCACTTTTTAAGTCATCTTTCTTAGTAAAAACAAATGTATCAAGATTTTAACAATTGGTAAGTCTAGGTGAAAGTAAAGCATATGCATTTTACTCTTTAAGCTTTTCTTGAGGTTTGAAATTTTGCAAAATAGCAAGTGGGGAGGGAGTTATTTCTCCCGTGATCTCTCTCTTCTTTCATAAACTCTCTCTCTCACTGCCATTTATAATTCTTAAAACTATCATTCTTTTCATCTGTGATAAATGCTCTTAAACTGTCAAGGAATGATGCTATATTTTAAGCAACTTTGTAGCAAATTGCTGGATAACTTTTATGAAAAATGATTCTTTTAGTAAATGGAGTCAAGGACACTATTTAATTAGTTGTTATGACTTTTTGGAGTCTGTGAACCCTAATACATCATATTCTGTAGGGGGCAGTCCTTAATGCTAAGTGTACATTGGTCAGTTCAGTAGAAAGCGTATTCCATGCGCAGCCAGGGGCTTCCAGATTCAGGCTGCCCCTACCACTTACTGTGCAGGCCCCATTCGATGTCAGTTTTGAGCTAAAATCAGAGCACAGGCCAGATAATTGGAATCATTTACAGTGCTCTATGAAAGCATCAGTACTGTTCCTTGGTGTCACTGAAATGTTGTCACCAAGGTAGTGTGGAGAGGGGAGGGTAGAAACTCTATTCTGTGATATGTTGATGAGACCAAGGCCTCAAAAACATGGCACACTGGTTCTAAGAGGAACAACATGAGGCTGCACAATTAACAGCTCCAGGCTATTAGTGAATAGGAATAGCTGTATGAAGAAGAGCACAATCTATGATTACAACAGTGTAATTGGAATGTTACATTTGATTATGCAGTAGCTCCTGCCCAAAGCCACGGGGTCATTGCAAGGTGGGTATTCATAGTCTCCTTCCTGGTGTTCCTGGACCCGCTGAGCATGGTGGCTGCAGGGTCCCCATTCTCGGGCCTGGACATGCTCTCAAACATAGGATTTTGGGACAGAAATGACATGCTGGATTTTGTTTATTGTGGGTTATCTTTCAATGAGCCAAGCCGAGACAGTATGCCAGTTAGCCTTGCAGTAGAGTGTACAGTGCTGTCTGGTGAGTTGGAACAGCCTAGATTCCAGTACACCTAGCTCCATAACTGCCTGTATTGTAACCTTGGGTCAGTGACTTAACCTTTCTGGAGTTCTCTCTTTCTCTTAGGGGGATTAAATGAGATGGTATAGTGGAAGTATTGACCCTGCATGTGAAACAGGGTAAACCAAACACCTTTGTCTATCAATATCTCTTCTAAGTCTATTTAATCATACAATGGGTTATTATAATTTTTCTTTATTAGACACCTTTTTAAAAGAAAAGGGTTTTTGTTTTTAAATGAAGTGGTTTAATCTTAAGTAAAGTTCTAAGTTAAGGGTATTTGCAGTAAAATTATATACAATTTTTTAAATGTAATTCCCTCATATGCTCTTGTTGTTGTTGTTGCTGTCAGGTGCCGTCAAGTTGGAACCGACTCATAGCGACCCCATGTAGAGCAGAACGAAACAATGTCCGACCCTGGGCCAATTTCATATACTATTCCTTTTTTTTTTTTTTTTTTAAGTTACCAAAAATTGGGATTGCTAGACAGCAGGCTTCATTAAACATTTTCTGTAAAGAACCAGATTCAAATATTTTAGGGTTTGCTGCCACATAGTATCTGTTGCAGCTACTCAAACCTGCCATTGCATAGCAAGAGCAGCTGTTGCAGTGCATAAAAAATGGGCCTGTGTCCCAATAAAATTTCACATATGTGGATTTCATATCATTTGCACATCACGAAGGATTCTTCTTTAGATTTTTTTCTCAACTATTTAAAACCATTCTTAGCTCTCAGACTGTACAAAACCAGGTGGCTGATCAGATTTAATTCTCAGGCTTTAACTGGCCAACATCTACTATCTAAGAATATTGCCATTGTTATTGTTAAGTGTCATCGAGTCAATTCCAATTCATGGCAATCCCATATAGGATTTATGAGGAGCATCTGGTGGGTTTGAACCACTGAATTTGAAGTTAACAGTCCAGAGCTTATTGTACAGTGCCACACCAGGATTCCATCTAAGAATAAAGCTATATGAAAGATATATGGATGCAATCAGCAAGTGATAAAATATATAAGAAAACCACTTAGAGACTGTTAGTTTATAACAGTTTCCTGTAAAAGAGGATCTTGTTCACATTGAACAGCATCTAAATGAGTTTAATTTTCTTGATATTGAAATATTAATAGCAAGATTTAAATTTTGAGATAAATTTTATGATGTGTGAGAGAGGTTTTGAGTGGTTTATTTTTCTTTTCCCATAAACCAACTCTGAACAAAACTGTAGCTTGCCAATAATTGAATATTTTAAACATTCTGAATGTTTAAAACATACATATTCATATTTTTATTTCTGAAAAATGATTCATTTCAAAATTAGATGTTGCAATATTTTCTTAATATTTTAATATAAAAGTGATAAATATATTTTATATATACATACAGAAATGTACATTTTAAATATCATCCTTGATAACTCCAAAACTGAAAACTACTTTACACAATAGTCAAACACTATCACCTTGCTCTATGTTGCTTCAATTACAAGTTACTTAAAGATAAAAAGTGTTTAAATAAAACACAGTGCCAAGCTGTAGCTAATGAACTCTTAGCATGATTCATTATTAAAGCTTTTAAAAGCTCATTTTTATTCAGTGTACAATCCCCAAATGATCACATGCAAGTAACATTTCATTGTTGTATATTTAGTAATAACAGAAAATTCATTTTTATTCTAAAAAAAAAGTTTTTCTCATTGATATGGAATCAAATCAATGTATAGATAAGATAGTTTAGCCCTCTCACAGAGATTAGCATTTAAAGCAATAATAAATTAAAACATAAATGGATAATCTTTAATCTTTTTAGGACACTGAGATCATCATTTTAAAAGCCCTGAATACTGGATCTGGAGGTGGCGTGGTGGTTACGTGGCGTCAAGTCAGTTCCAACTCATAACGACACTGTATAGGGTTTCCGAGACTGTAAATCTTTACGGAAACAGAAGCTTCATCTTTCTCCCAAAGAACCGCTGATAGTTTCAAACTGCTGACTTTGAGATTAGCAGCCCGACTCATAACCACTACACTGCCAGAGCTCCGTGCATAGTGGATATAGAGAAAACAACAAATAAAATTTTTATTTTTCTTAAAAGACAAGATGTATTCCTTTAGACTACTCTTTGTAAAATATGTTCACACTTGAAGGACCCCACCATAGTGAAAAAAATAGTGCAGATTCACTAAAACGTGAATTTTTACCTTGTTCAATATTGTTGGGTGATTTTTATTAAAATACAAGTTTCCTTAGGAAAAAACAAACAAAAAAATTGCAATACCTCAATTGGGACTGGGGGTGTGTATGTAGAGATAGTTCTTCTTTTAAAAATAATAAAGTTCAGTCCTTGGCTATATAAATATTCACTCGCTTATTCAAACATAAAGTATTGTGCTCCTAAAAATGGGTTATTTTCAGTTGCACAAATTGAGATTTCGAGATCTGGAAACTGTCACCAAAATGTTAAGATTCACAAGCGAGTTTCGGGTGAACAGAATGGGACCACCTGAGTCGTTACACCAAATGCATTTGTCTGTAAGGACTGTAACGTGTGTTCTGTGGTCCTGTACCATCATCAAAAGTTCGCCTTTTCCAACCATAGTTTCACAAAGATTTGAATTTATATTTAAACTCAATGTCATTTAATGGCGGTAAAATGCCCAACCCTACACGGGACTGATCCAAAGGAGGGCATTTAACTTGACTCTCCACGAGCTCCAGTTCAAAATAGGAAAGCATCAAGATTAAGAATTCCTTTATCTCATGGACAGCAAATATTCGACCAGGACATATCGTAGCTCCTGATCCAAAGGGCATGTAGTAATATTTCAACTTGAGTCCATTACTGTAGAAGGTGGTTTTTGCTTTCCCATTTTCATCAAGATACCGATCATATTTAAAAGTCTGCAATAAAATACAAAGAAAACAAATCCATAATAACCGCCTCTCATTCTTGACCTAGAAGTGCTGAAGAGTTTTTTAATCTAATACAGTCATAAATTAGTAAACACTGCACAATGAATCATAAATTGATAAGGAACAGGAGTTTAATGAGAACTAAAGAAATGGAAAAACTTGATGATGCCCCTCTACTCTGTCTGGGAAGGGGCCCTGCTGGCACTGTAGGATAAGCACTGGACTGCTAACCTCAAAGGCAGCAGTTCAAACCTTCCAGCACTCTACAGGAGAAAGATGGGTTTAATTAATGCTCTCATAAAGATTTACAGCCTCAGAAAACTTTCACCTGGTCACTCTGAGTAGGGCTTGACTGGATGACAGAGTTGTTGGATTTTTTGGATCCTGTCTGGGAGATTATTTCTTTGGTTAGACAGAATTAGGAAAAAGGTTCAGATCAGAAACTAGATTAGTCCGTATGTTGTTCACTATTCTGAATTTGGGAGCAGGTAATTTATAAGGAAAAGGAAAGGTGGCAGGTTTATTATTCTTTTAGCAAGTATAATATATCAGAGATTATGCGATGGCAAATAAATTAAAATTAAAAACTAAGGCCATCATCCATATTTGACATAATATATGACACAATTAAGGGAACAATCACTATGGCCACAATGATGAAATGATTTATAAATTTCCTCTTTGCTTGAGCATGGATAGACATCACTCAGACACTGAACTTACCAAAGGATCTTGATAGATTTCAGGATCTAAGTGCATCAACGGAGGATAAAAAGCTATGAAATCATCTTTGCGGATGTTGAAGGAACCATCCTCAACGTGCAAGGTGAAATCTTCCTTCGCAGCCCGGATATTCAGGGAGGCACTGGAGAGCCTCAGAGACTCCTTGATGATGCTATCTAAATATTTTATAAGAAAGGAAGGAAGGAAGGCCAAAGAGCAGAGAAGGAGGAAAGGGGGAAGGGAGGAAAGAAGAAAGAACAAGTCAAGTATCTAACTACCACATAACAGAGCCTAACTGTCATGCCACCTAGTCCATTCCCCTAAGACACTGCCCTGAAAACAGGGTGGTTTCTTCTAGAAAAAAAATAATGAAAGTTCTTCCTTATTATAAAAATACAATTCTTCTGTATTTCTATAAAATAAGTTGTTCCTGTGAAGTGCCATTGAGCTGGTTCCAACTCATAGAGACCCTGTATAGGATTTCTGGTGGGTTTGAACCACCAGCCTTGCAGTTTGTTAGCAGTCTAGTGCTTATCCTACAGCACCACACCAGAACTCCTTTCGATATAATATAGAAAGCAAAAGGAATAAAATAAACTTTAATTTCATCAACCAGACATAACTGAAGCTAATTATGGTCCCTTGATGGTACCTCCTTTTCCTTTATTAAAGTTAATAATATCACCATACTATTAGTGTCAGAGTCCTGATGTGGTGCTGGAGGTTAAGTACCAGACTGCTAACCACAAGGTCAGTGGTTCAAACCCACCTAGTCAGCCCTCAGAAACCCTATACAGGGTCTCTATGAGTCGGAACAGACTCAATGGAACTTAACAACAATAACAATATTCATGTGCAGTAAGAGTAATAACAAGGGAGACAGACTAGAGTTGTGTGAGATAGAAACTGACAGTGTAGGGTTTAGAGTCACACATAAAGGTTGTAATTAATTCCATTTGCAATAATTTAGCTTCTAAGTACCAGTTCCTCACTTGTAACCACTAGCAGCCTTTCATCATAAGATTGTTTTGTGAACTGAGTGTGAACTGACAAGCACTGTTGGAAGTAGTACAGGGAAAATAAAGGGAACCATGGCAAGCACACCTAGGACTGGCATGTCATTCAGCTGCATTTGATTCAAACAAATAGGATCGCCATCAAAGCTGATTTTTTGACCAGCATTCTCTAATGTTTTATTCACTTCTTCAGTAGCTGCTTTCATTGCTTCCGGATTCCTATTAAAATTAAGAGAAAAGAAAAGATTTACAAATATACCAACAGATCTACAAGCCAACACCCTTTTCTTTTAATGAGGTGGCATACCAATGATTCGTTTCATACTGTTATACATAAAGTAAGTCTCTGTAAGTCAGAACTAATGCAACAGCAACTAACAACAACAACAGATACAAGAGAAGGGGAGAAGAAGGTATTCTCATTTACTTTGGACTTTTTTTAATAACGTATTTGGATATTGGTAAGAATTGTTGCCTAAAATGGGCCTTTCTATGTGAAATTGAAACTGTGACCAGACTTTAATAAAGATATGATTCCAATAAGACCTGAATGGTTAAATGGGTCAAATGCATTTTAATTTAGAAGGAAGTCACACCTAAGGTAAATATGATGGATCAATTAAATTTACTCTTAAAATGCATATCATGACCCTTTGGTTGTTTAAATGGTTATATATTCCTGAGTGTTTTTGTGTACATCAAAAATAAAAACAAAAATCCCAACAACAACAGAGGGAATAGAAACAAATACTGTTAAATGATGCATGCATGGAGGGGATGGTAATTATTGCAATGAAACAAAATATGATAGGATGAATGCAAAACGGATGTTCTCCCATGTAAACTATCACTCCATTAACAATAAAAGCTTTTTAAAAAATGCATACCATGATTTCATATAGAACAGTTATCTTTTCTATCTGTATTATAATTTGTTGTTATAGCACTTTGAATTATGAAATGAAGGTTACATTATTTTAGGACATTAAAGTTCACTGGTGTTTCAGAGCTTTTGTAAGGAATTTATATTACATAATTACAGTATATTGAGCATCACAGATGCTAGACTGAAAGTATTTGTGTGATTATCAGCAATTATGGCTACTATTACCTATATGGTATTAAATAGGTCATGTAACCTTACTGTAAATATGTGAATTTATTCTGGCAGAGCTTTCCCAAATAATAACTTTGGAATAGATTTAACATTAAGACTAGAGATACTGGTTAATTTTTTTTTCTGAAATTAAATTTAAAATTTTTTATATTAAAGTCATAAAATTACCAGCCGTCAATGGAAATTTGGCATGTCCAAGTCTATGGAATAGTAATTTTGTATCTATGGTATTAAACATCCAATTTAACTTCAATATTTTAACATACCACTTGAACAACAATTTTCCAAAAGAGTAGCAATTTGAAAAGAATAGTGCTAGGTCCTGGTGTGGCACTGTAGGATAAGTACTGGAGTGCTAAACAAGGTTGCCAGTTCAAACACATCAGCTGCTCCTCAGAAATCCTATACAGTCTCTATGAGTCTGAATGACTTTATGGAACTAAACAACAACAACTACATGTAAAATATAGGAGCCCTAGTGGCACACTAGACTGTTAATCACAGGATTAGAAGTTCAAATCCACCAGATGCTCGAGGGAAAAAGATGAGTCTTTCTACTACTGCAGATATTTACAACAGGACCACTATGAGTTGGAACCACTTGACACCACACAACAACAGCATGAAAAATCTATGTGGACATTTTAAAAGATAAAATCTAACCAAATCAGTAATAATAGACTATGATTGACCCATAGATATCATTGTTGTTGTAAAGTGCATTCCAATCTGTTCTGACTCATAGGACCCAGTATAGGATTTCTGAGGAATGGATGGTGGGTTTGAACCACTGGCCTTGTGGTTAGTAGTCTAGTGTTTATCCCATAGCAGCAAACCAGGATTCAACCCAGAACTGGTCAAATAAACAGTGAGATCATAATTACTAATTGAGTTGGAAAAAACAAAAGGCAAAACAATCTGTGAATGCACAAAGAAATAAGGAAGGCCCAGTTATAAGGAGCTCTGGTAGCGTAGTGGTTACGAATCGGGCTGCGAACCATAAGGTCAGCAGTTCGAAACTACCAGCTGCTCCGCGGGAGAAAGATGAGGCTTTCTACTCCCGTAA